TGACTTTTTTTTGTCAAAATAAAAAATGGTCTGAGGATGTAACAGGATAGAAAGTCTGCCCACCCAGCAGAGTAAATTCTATTCCATTCTTTATATTTGTTATCACTTTTTTCATCCTAAAATACAACTTTTATGAATACAATTTTCTGCTATTGAATAATTGTTTGTCAAGTCGACCTTTTTCTCAGATATTTTCAGCTAAACTTCCTACACCAGCTTGCAAACGGTTCCTTTTCTCCTTGTTGAGCACCTCAAAATGCCTGTGCACGTCCCTGGCAGAGCGCATTCCGTATTGACTTGTGAAATCTCTTTTTGAGGGTGTTTTACCTTAAGTACTTGTTCCTCTGGGCGTGTGCACTGATTTTAAACCCCTGATGAGGTCACGTACAAAAAATGTGTTGAAAAACAGTCAGGCTGAAACATATCAAAACCTGTTTTTATGTAATCATGCAGGCATTTCTCGAGTATCTCCCATCTCAGAAAGTGACTGCTCGTTTATGACTTTGTTTTTGTTAGTTTCTCTGTCTTTTTGTGGTGCTGCGATAAAAGAAGGCTGATGAGAAGTCGGCTGCATTCTTTGGCAGTGACACAAGATTTACACACAAGTATCACCTAATTTTGAACACATAAATGCAGTATAAAGCAGATGTGCAGCCACATCATTAAACACTTTTATTAACAACAGAAAAGAATATCTGGGAACATTTAGGGATGTAGGGTGAGATTAATGTAAATTATATTTCCACAGTTTATGCTTTGTACTATATTCAACTATATTCTAATATAAATACACAAAATATAATCATGACAATAAACATTTTTATATTTTAAATGTAACATTAGGTCAACTAACACTGATTGGCTTCTCTACTCTTTTCTTATCCTTTTTTAATAAAAGCGTTGCTTTTTTGAACGAAGTCCTTGGGTGTAGTGGTTCTTTTGGCACCCCCTCAACTGTTTCTGGTACGTTCCTCTTTGTTACCGTCCCTGTTCGCTCATTCTGAATATGTTGAATAATAGCCACTTGGACGTGATGTTACTTGTGTAAGTGAAAGTAATGGGTCAAAATAATATCCCGTTGTAATGAATGAGCGGATTCAGAGAAGGTAACTCCGGAAGTGATGTTGAAATATATTTTTAGAAAACTCATAATGTGCTATAAAGTGGGAGGCGGGATTCCCTGGGGGCGCAAAATTGGACAGGGAGCAATATGATTATGCTTAAGATAATTTTATAAATCATTATCTCTGTATTTCACTAATTTGAGACACTAAATATTATTATATGAATTAAAGTCACATAAACGCCTTAAGGACTCAAATAAACAACTCTAAAAAGATGTAGTATGTTTTGACACTTTAAATGAATCATTTTATTTAGTAGTTGTATGCCATGAAAGTGGATATTATACTTCAATTTGTGTATTAATTATTGCTTTAAATTTGACCTGGTTTGGCAACTTTTCATGAACATAGTGCTGCTGCTTTTAGTTGTTCGGTTGATGGTGTCTTTGTTGGCCAACATTTTCTGTAGTTGACTCAATTAATCATACTTCATTTAACAAGTGTGAGTTGCTTTTTTGGCTCGTTGCTTTCCACATGTAGATGTTGCTTAGACTCTTTGTGTAAAACTAAGCCAAATGTTCCCACAGTCAAAACACTTGGAAATCGTAACGTCGTATTAGTCATGTATTGTAAAACAAGTTTGTATTGATGTTATTCCAAGATGGAGAAAAGTTAGTGAATTGGTCCGGTCCCATGGGCGTTTGAAGTGGGAGATCCCAGTGAGACGCAGAGGTGTCTGAGACAGGAGTGTTGCCTCACCTGCTCCTGTATTTACTTCAGATGGTGGGATTAGGACGCAGCCATGTGGAAGATATGACCGTAATCCACAGTGCTTTGAGTTGGCAGTCACATATACCACATCCGCTAAAGGTAGAGCACAGAGGTATAAGTTAGAAAACCCAGTAGAGTTTTCAGACGCTTGGGTTTGAGGCTGGCTTTTGGAAAAGGTGAGCAGGAGAGAACGATACCTAGGAGTATTGTGAGATCTATTAAATAACACATGCCAGGATTCGGCCAGACTCATGCACACATTGAGTTTGGAAGAAGACCATCATATATGTTCATAAAAAGTTTGTCAGATGAGAAGAAAATTAACTGTAGAATTAAGTGATATTTAGCCATAAAAGCAAAAATATTATAGTGTTACAAAATAGACAAAAATCTCGAAGGAAATATAAAGATAATGTGTTTGTTAAATCCCAAAATATAATGTTCCTTTCATCAATTATTGAAAGATAAGTTGCTATATAAAATTGTGACAGGCCTACTATATTGTTTTAATCATTTACATTTTTCTTGTTTCTTGTGACCTGGCATATCCACTTTGAACACAACTTAATGTCTGCGTAAACTTACCATTAGGAGCCAACTACTACAAGAGCAAGTGTTGTTCTCACGTTCAACAAGGCCATCAGCGCTCCCTTTGCATGCTGGGTAATACTTGTCTTGCTGTAAATAGTCAAATTAATGAGCAAATTAAATGCGTTTAAATGTGCATTTCTGGTCATACATCAGCTGAGTGAAACTTGTGATTTGTTGTCAGTGGTCCTCGCACCACATCGCCAGCCCCATCACAAACAGGCCAGCGCTAAACTCTTATTTATCCATTGTTCTGATAATTAAACCCTTCTCATTAGTGACATAATTGGAAGTGTAATTAGCAATAGTAATAATTATTGTATTTAATACGTTTTCTCTTTTGGTTATCAGCTTCGTTCGTTGCTAATTAGCAGTCATGAGAATTTCATACTTTTGTCCTTGTTCGTTTTACCACCAATTATTTCAGATATAATTTTCCCATAAACTTGGCTTTAAAAATCAGTTTAGCTTGGCACTGCAGACAGTTATTTGTTTTCATAATGTAAAGTCCCATTTGCAGTCTGAAATGTGCATTAGTTTGTTAAATGAGGGAAGGAGAAATTGGTTCGGTGACATATGTGGTTTTTAAGGTTGACCTACACAAGGCCCCGATCCTTTTACACAAAAAAGTGCTCTTTAGAGACAGAGCCAGAAGCCCACGCAGACAAGCATCTGCAGAGAGCAGAAAACATATTTAGTTTATTGTATTCAAGAACATAAAGAGCATTACATCCGAGGCAATCATCTTAAGATCCCATGTTGTAGGGATTATTGGTTCAGACTTTAACCTTTTACATAAATCTGCTGTAGAAAGGAATAGAAAGGTCTTGAGCGCGTACAGTTTTTTTATACTACACAAGTAGCAGTTGTATTGTAATTGCATATATTTCCATCCCTCTGTCTCTTTCCCCATAATCCAAGTTCCTCTGAAATAATGTTGTTATCTTTCCCCAGCCATTTACAGAGTATCTGAGGAAATCTGGTAATTTCTATGCATTGTTTTTGGTTATAAATCCTTAAACTCTGATGTTATAATGTCCTAGAGCAGGACACCAGCCCAAGAGGATGGATGTAGTTTGTAAGTGGAAGGCTGTAGGAGAATCTGTCAGCATAGATACTTTACTCATTCTACTTTGGGGCAGTTGTGGCTACAGATGTGTTAAATACTGCTGTGTGAAGGGGAGTTAAATTTTTTTTTAAAATTTTAAAGATATGTTGTGCATAAAACCGACACCTCATTATTGATGTCAATATTATGAATCTTAAATATCTGAACATTTTTGGCTAAACTTGATTTGAACGGATTCAGTGCTATTTCTAAGCCCAGAATGATATATTTGCGTATAAACTTTCAGCATATTTGTTATAATCTGCTGAAAAAGCTCTAGGCCTTGAACCACTTGCTGTCAAAGAAACCAGTGTAGATGAGATGCTAAACAGCTGTTTCATGTTTATCTACAGAAATCATACGGAGGAAGAGTGAGCAGTGGCTGCAGGCGATAACTCCTCCGTGGATTCAGCTTATGTACATTCTTCAATAAGAAGGTAAGGCTTAACTCATGCACCAGGGCATTTTTCAGTGAAGACACACATTTACAGTCTCCTCTCTCTACGTTGTGTCGATCCCTGAGATGTAACCACTGTGTCACAGTTCCTCTCTCAACAGTTTTGGTGTGAAAAAAAAGAGATTCCCTCTGTTTTCATGGGACGACTTAATAGTGTGCGACACAGAGTGGAGTCATGATACCCCGAGGTCTGGATTAATTTAGCTGTGAAGCCCACGAGCAGCGAGCGTTCAGCAGGTGCCTGTTTGTCTTCAGGAGGGACTTGTATTTGGCACTGGTGCAGTGGCTCATTATAAATCTGTAATTAAGTTACATTTCTATTTGCTTTTTCTCAACTCTCTGTCATGTGGGACAAACATAGTGTAAACTCAGTCTCTGCTAAGTGCACTCCTGGCTGCATCGCTCATACACTTTATTCTTCCAATTGATATTGGGTTTGCCAAATCTGTTTGTTATCCCAATTCATTTGCAAGTATGTCTCTGCTCAGGTGATAAAGAATTAGCTAAGTCATTATTTGATGAAAAACTTAAAAAACTCCCATTGAATAAACGAATACCATTAAGGTTTTTTCCAATTTACATTCATTTGAAAAGCTCACAAAAAAAGCATCAATACAATGAGGGATTTATGTATCAAGAGTTAAACAGTGGTCAGGGAGTGAATGATTGTAAGATGCCATTCTTCTGTATTGTTAAAATATCTCAATTTGTTTCTAATCAGCCGCAGTCTGCTCCGCCCTCTGCATGTGCACAAACAAACAGTGCATCCTGCTGCGCTGGAGGGAGAGTCCTGTGCCCCTGTGGCTCGGCTCATCCGGAGCGGGGCGTGTTCCCCGAGCCAAGAGCACGCTGTAGTCACCTGCCAGGGGAGAGAGAGGGGGAAGTGTGCGTGTGTGTTTGTGCACGCATGTGTGTGTGTGTGTGTGTGTGTGTGTGTGTGCGCTCTGTGGGGGCCTGAAAGGATGAGTGGGGATCGGGAAGAGAATAGCCGCCTGCAGGGTGGTCAGGCTCAATGAGCAGCACCACTGTGGCGCCAGCGTTTGCCAAGAGCCTGCTCCGGCTAACAGCTAACAATGTGGCCTGTGGAGGGCCAGTGGGCAGGAAATTGAGGTTAACAACATTGTTACATATTAAACATGGTTTAGCAGAGGGCAGAGTAAATGGGTAGAGTGAATTCCAGCAGTCAGAATAATTGTTGTATTGTGTATGTGTATAGAATAGCTGACAAAATATATTTGTTTTATCAACTACAGTATTCAGCTTTATAATTGAGACTGTGGCAGTTTTTACATTGATGAATTCATGTCATTGTTTTGAAAGTATTTTGTGAGTAAACTATTAACAGACCATTTTGGGTTGACACATAACAGTTATTACAGTTTTTTGTATCTAGTTGAGCTATTAAGGTTACTATACTTTTATTAGTAGTTGTCAAAGTAATTCTGTGTCCTGCAGTTCTTATCATCTTCTGATGAACTGAGTTGTCAGCATCACAATGAGCACTTTCTTAGGTGCCTCTTGTACATGACATGCGCTTTTGGCTTCCTGCGCAGGAGCCTTCCCAGAGAATCTCACTGCTTTCCATCACTCTTTCCCCACTGCGCTTTGCCTCGGGGAGCGGCGCCTGCTACGTGTTGTAATAAGGAGAACTGATATAATGAAGGTCATTGTAATCACAGCTAATGTGCCAAAGAGTCAAGGCATTGTAGCTTTATTTGCAGCAAGACTCTGTATTGTGAGCCCGGGGGATGGGCCTGATAGTGTTATCTTAGCTAACCTGACTCTAATACCACTGTTTGTGTCAGAGAGGTGAACTTTTCCCTATGATCCCATTCATGGATGGGTACAGATTGGGCTCCGGCGCTCCATCCTGGTTAAATCCCTCCCCAGGTGTCTTCCGCTGCTCATATCCAGTCAGAGATAGCTGCACCTCTGTCTGACTGACTGAGCTCTGACACAGGCTGAGGACGGGCTCACAGAGATGACCTCTAAATGTAATCCTCTCCCCCAGGAAATGCAAATGACCTCAGCTCAAATTTGATTTGTTTTTCTTAATTCAAGATGCAACAGTTGAAGTAATTATTGATAGTATTAACATAATGCAAATCATTTGGTTTTGTACTCTTAGATCAAGCTTCTGCTATGGTTAGCAGAAGTTATTTGGTTATGCAAGTGAAATGTAGATGGATCAAAGTTTTGCTGCAATTTAGAGAAACACAATCGTCTAGTTTGGGTGCTCCTCTGAAGTGTTTTGACCCTGAACACCACTTTTTGATTAGTTCTTGAGTGTGTCGCTGCCCCATTTTTATGATAGGTGCATAAACCGGAGCATTGTGATGACAGTGTTAGTCACACAAAACGTCCAACAGAGTTTGATAACAACGGTGTGATGCAGGTGTCTGACAGAATGAGACTGAACGCAACTGCTCCTCCAAATCATGACAAATACAAATCTCCACAAATCATTCAAGATTCATGTAATATATATCTTTTTTATTTATTACATCTTTCACAATTTTAACAACATTACAAAACTATACATAACTAGACAATCCCTCAGAGAGCTCTGGAGCCCTGAATCCAGACAATGATTCAAATCACCTCCAAATGCAATCTGTTGTTAACTGGGCCATTGCGCATAATTCCTGAAAAGGCTAGTTATCTCTTTACCTCTTGGGCACGAGAAACTTACATTTTGATATGTTCGCACAGTTTACTTGGGTTGTAACTGAGAATACAACATAAACAAAACATTTGACAATCGATGCATTGAGGTGAAACCTGAAAAACAACCATGAGAAGAAATATTGAATTGTTTTATTATTTTTGATTAAGGGATTAGCTTAATATGTGTGATGATATGTCACAGATATCGCAGAAGCGGCAGTAGCTCAGTTGGTAGAGCTTTGGCCTTTGAGCCAGAAGGTTGTGGGTTCAAGCCCCGCTCAAGACTTTCACCATCAACTCCCACTGACTACTGTCGTTGTGTCCTTGGCAAGACACTTAACCTCTGGGAACACCAGCCACAGTGGGGCGGCTGCGGCTGTAAAGTGCCAAACTGTCGTTGTGTCCTTAGGCAAGACACTTCACCCCCATTGCCTAGAATGAGTCTGGTGTGTGTGTGAATGGTTGGTGGTGGTCGGAGGGGCCGATGGCGCATACTGGTTGCCTCGCTTCTGTCAGTGTGCCCCAGGGCAGCTGTGGCTACAGTAGTAGTTTATCACCACCGTGTATGGAGTGAATGAATAATGACACATGTGAAGCGTCTTTGAGTGTCCAGAAAAGCGCTATATAAAACCGATGCATTATTATATGTCATAGCTTCTATGACATCACTTCTATGACATCACAGCTAGATTCAGCTAGTTCCAGCATATCAGCTAGATTTAATAGACTCTTCAGGAGTACATTCCAGGATTTTTGTTGTTGCCTCAAAAGTGTCAGTTCTGCAGACAAATATTCAAACTGTTATAGACAACTATAAAAAAACCATCTCGTTAATTCATTGCTCATTCCTTTCCATGTTCCCATATTCTCTCATTTAAAGACAAGACATTTATTTTTCATTCAAACATATTGCATCAATCATCAAAGACCTTCTCTGCTCCCACCTCCAAACTGCCAAGCACTGCACAAGCACCCTGCTCTGATCATCCTAACTTTCCACAGGCCTCTTTCTGTGGCTGCCTCTCTGGACCACGGTGAAATGATCTCTTTTGTTTCGCATCATTAGCTCCATCTGTTGTGCGAGGGGCCTGTCTGTTCCGGCGGCTGGCGATGTGACGGTAGCCGGGGGCGACGGGAGCGGCTCGCGGGTCGACCTCCGCCACCACAGCCACCTCTCGCCACGGCGCGTCCCTGATCTCCTTGACACGGCAGTGCAGGCCTGATGCTTTGCTCTTCTTTATGCAAACAACTAGAGAAAACACGGCGGAGGATTACAAGTCTATGCAGGGCTGTTGCATTTATTTGATCAACAGAATTGAGATGATTCAAATTATGAGAATACAGATCTAGTGAGGTGTTCAGTCACACTGAAAGAGCTTGGAGTAGAGCTGTCCCTCCATCAGAGTTGGCCTGGACATCTGTATTGTATGTCCTACCTGGAGGGAGAGAAGATCGAGGAGTGTCTATGTCTCCGAGCTGGCCTGCAATCGGCTTAGATGGCTGCCTTTGTGACTTGACCCTGAATCATGAAAATAGATGGATTACTGTGGCTTCAAAACTTAACTTCTGACCAGGGAGCTGTAAAATTCCATCCACTTTACAGATAAAAAAACAGATATTAACTGTTTAGGACAGTGGTGTCAAACTTTTCATTCCAACCAAGCAAGAGCACACCAGTCTCCACCCATTCATCAAGTCCTCAAGGTGAACTCACTCCATGAAAAGAGAACATTGATTATTAAAATGGAAAAAATAAATGTTGGAAACAAAAGATGAGGACTACTAAAACAAGAAAATAAATATATAGAGAAAAAACGTTTTTGGAAATCTAGGCTACTGCCTAGAAAGTGTCCATGGAGTCATGAGCTCATGTAACAATGATTTTGTTTCATGAGAAAAACAAAATCGTAGCTCCATAGTATTATTAGACCGTTCATTGTGTGACTCCAATAGCCAATCTCTCTAGATATGAATTTATAATTTCATATCATTTGGGATGAAATAAAATAAGAAAGTAAGTAATCTTCATTTATATACCGCCCCTCACAGACCAGAGTCACAAAGCGGTTTACAATTGTTATTTTTGGGCACTTGTCCTCTCACTCGACACAGAGATGCGTGCGTGGTAAAGACGTATCTGCCGTATTTTTCGCACTATAAGGCGCACCTGATTATAAGGTGCACCTGATTATAAGGTGCATGGTTGAAATTAAAAGCTTTTATGTGCGCCTAAGAGTGCGAAAAATATGTTACTTTAAACTTTTGCAGTAGTGTAAAGGTGCCCAATAACATTGGGATGTGCATATTTGGGTAGCTACCTGTATCTCTCAGGTCACATACATAAAAACAAACTTGCTCAAGACGCAAGAAAGCTTTGTTTGAATTTCTCTTTTTGAACTTCTTTGTTGCTGTTTCTGCAGCTAAACTCGAAATGTCTGAAGTTGTCAACTACAGCAACAACTTTCCAACTTCATGGGATGAATTACAACATAAACAACACCAACAGCTTATCATTCATCATTCACCTTATCATTTTTATTTTCTATTTTTTACTCCTGACTTCCACCCCTGATGACAAACTTGCAGAGGAGAGAAAGTTACTATTAGTAGTCTATTGGTAAAGACTTTGTTTTTAAGTTTGAAATGTTCCCCATAAATATCAGCGACCTGTCTTATCTGTCTTCAATTCGGCTTTAATAGGTCAGATCTGTGCGCTGTATTTTCTTCAGTCGGTAGCAAACAACGTATCAAACAGATGTAGCATTTTCTCTCAACAAGGAAATATTTAATTCATGATTTACATGAATGATAAATCTTCAGAAAGTCTTTGCTGCTGATGGGCATACACAATTTAACATCTGTCTTGCTCAGAATAATTAATCAATTTGCCAAACACTTGGGACTACAGTTTTTCCTCTCACTTTGCTCTGCTTTTAAAGTAGTAGCTCCATCTGAAGACAAACATACGCTGCACTAATGACAATATTACGGAAATTTCTGAAAGTGGTGTTCTGCTAATGACTGCCTTTTAGCCCCTGTCACTGTAAAACACCCGGCATCCGTAAAAAAAGACTGCAAAACGTGCCCTTTCTAATTATAATTTTTAATTCCCAGATGAATATTTCCGTAATGTCTCCTGTGAATTGCTTTGGCCTTATCTCTGCACTGCACCAAGGGCATTTGTGTTGCATGTCAATGTGTAGAGATCATTTTCATTGGAGATATAGAGCCATCAAAGGTCATAACCGTCCCAATGACCTAACCTTGCAATGTAACACCTGTGTGTAAAAGTGGACTCATCCTATCTTCTGGGATGGCTGTAATGTACCTCTAATGTATAAAGTGGGGAAATAAAATAAGAGTTATAGGCTGACTGTTGGGAGGGGGGAAACGGTAACCCTATCGGCTGAAATAGCTATGTTCTGGAGAGGTGACAGTCTATTGCCAAAGTGCCGTATTTGTTGGAGACCATTATGAAATAAAGTCTGTGAAAAAGGCCAATATTGGGTTTGAATTGATTCCTGAAGACTGTACAAGTGAATATGCTTTCATTTTGATGGTGTTACTATGGACCCAGCGTGTTAGTGTGTTAGTTTCACCCCGGCCATTACTTTGCTCCATTAGGCCTAAAACGGGTGATTTTATTTTTGCCCAGTCTATTTGGTGTGATAAAATGAAAAATCTGGAGTGCTTTATTAAGTCTGAGTGACACCTAAAGCCGCAAGCCAACAGGAAAAGAACTCATGTGGGATCCAGTTTCAGCTCATTTTTGCTCAATTTTCCATCTCCTGATCAAATACAGCACTTTCCAGGACGGCCGTAATGGGAGTGTCAGGTTCAGCGCTCTTCCGCTCACTCTATTAGCACAGGGCCGTGCGCTCGAGACGCTTATTTTCACTGATGTTTAGATACACATCACAATTGCACTTGTTAGTTTAAGTGCTCCAGGCTGACTGGTTGCGGGGTTGATTCCTGTTGGCCATCATAACGTTGAGAATACATGAATTACTCAAGTGTTTTATACCACACCATAGATGCTTGAGGCTGCCTTGCTCAAAGACACGATATGCGCTGCAGACAAATCAATATTTTATTTCTTAACTCTCTGACCTCAATCTGGCAGAGTACCTGTAGATCACCCATTTCTGACCCACTCATGCATTCATATATAAAGTATTTCTATGAAAGCCTGCATATAGATTTATATATAATTGTGAAGGAGTAGTCCCCACTCCTCACCCACAGGTGTATCCTTCCTGTTTTATTTTGAAATATTTAACTTTGTTTATTTTTCCCTGTCCCTAACTTGTCCCTTCTCTTTTCTTGGAAGGTGATTGGTGGAGGTGCTGGGCTGGAGGCGCGCCCATTCCAGTGCATGCCAGGTGCACCCAACTGAGCAATCAGCTGGGCTCCACCATGATCCTCCAAGAGAGGTGTTTCATTTGGGCTAAACATTATATAAACATACATCACATACCACTCCCTTCAAAAAAAAACCACCACCACTTATTTTATTTACTATAAATTATGATTATAATATATCTGCTTAAATTAAAGATGTGAATAGTTGTGTAAATAGTGTAGGCCTACATTGTTGTGTCCCTGGGCGGGTGGAGGTTTTGGTTTGGGCCACTGTATAAAAAGGGGAAAATTCCATTTGAACGGGGTGTTCCTGTTGTGTGCATGGGGGGATGCTACCCAAATAAATAAGACATCTTTTGTGCAAATCTGAAACATTTGGACCTTTGTTTGTTTCCCGTCCTGGTGAGAGGCTGTCCCAGTAGCTCAAACGCTACAATAATATATACATTTTTATTTTCTAAATTATTGATTAATTAATTGATAGGTATTTTATAGTTATCTAGCTCTATCTAACTATAACATGATTGCATTTCTAAATTTCTCATAAAACAAATCAATTCTCAATTTTCTAGTCACAATTGAGGCTTTCATCTTTTTTGAGCAAAGGTCCAATTTCATCACATGTAAAGGCCCAGATATACTTTTGTGAGTAATATATTAGATATACATTGGAAGTAGACTGAACATGTATTTGCTTGAATGTATGACTTTTAACAAATTTGCCTGATTTTGTTTGTTGTCTGTTTGGCATGTGATTCTCTGCTTTAGGCACATCGTTCCTTTTCAAGTGAAACAAACGTGACCCGTGATGTCTTAGTTTCAGGGCCTTTCAAACAACCTTTCAATAAAACAAGCTGAGCTGTGAGAGACATACAGGATCTCTCACGCTGGGCCGCCCCGCTGAAAATACCCTCCCTCCGGATTCAAAGGCAGCAGCTTTTGGTTCCCCCCGAGAGACCCAGCATTATCCATGGGGTTTATTTAAACTTGTTGGGAAGGTCTTGCCGTTTTTCTCTTTTCAGCAGTGGGTTATGTGACATTTAAAGAGAACCTCAGCACGTTTGAAACAGATTTTATTTGGATTATTGATCGCTGTGCATGGTGACCACAGCTGACAGTTTCCAGGGGCGTTTGAGTTGTAGGTGGCAGGTCTTCTGTGACACATGCTCAAAAAGGTTACGTGTTTTTGGACTTTTCTCGAATGGCCGTAACCTACAGACAAATTTAAGATGACAAGAGCTCCTTTAGAGAGATATACTGTGATTTGTTTCATTGACATTTCCTTGTATCTTTCTTCAGTGCTGTAGAAGCTGCCACTTAAACAAAATGCCACCCAGCCATCTGCGCCTCATACTGACACATGGTATTTCTGAAATTTCATTCAATTGGTGGATTGTAGAGAATTTTGTTCTTTCACATTTTCTGTGTAGTAATGCCCAGACTTGTGTGAATTATTAACATGACATGTGCAGCTCATTACCAAGTGCTTTGTCGACGTGGTGATTATTATTTTCTTTTTAGAGCCTATTGTTCGTGTATTTGAAGAAAACTTTTTACTTTACCAATGAGAACTTTACTTAATGCATCTTAATTATGTAACAATATAAACAAAGAAACATAGACACATACAGGTGACACTCTGAAAATAAGAATAATTTTCCAAAGTTTATTTATTACATTTTCAAGCAATTTATGAAATAGTCTCATTACATGCAAAGTGACATATGCCTTTGATTATGGCTTGTAGTCCATTTTCAAAATATTCTAAATTTATTAGGAGTTTTAAATGGAGTTTTTACAAGCTGTGAGCCAATTATTAACATGAAAATGCATAATTATACAAGTTTCAAATCATTCAACA